GATCTTCCTGCTTTAGCCTCCTGAGTAGGTGGGACTATAGGTACATGCACAGTGCTCAGCTAATTTTTTAATTTTCTGTTGAGATGGGAGTCTCACTGTGTCACTATCTATAAAATTTACTAAGGGCTAATCATATGCTTCAACACACTTTATGTACATCATCACGTTATTATCCATTTTACAGATACAGAAATTGAAGGGTTAAATAACTTGTCCCAAATTATACAACTAATAAGTGCCTGTTTTGCATAGTGTCTTTAAATCTAATACCAGGGCATATTACAATCTTTAGGAAGACCTGGAAATACACTCAAGATAGGGTTGTAGCCTTGATTTTCTTACCATTTTTTCCTTGTTGGTTCTTATATATTTCCCAGTGTATATAATTCAATTATTCTAAACTCGAGAGTAAAAAGTTGGTCACTACAAACTTGATGAAGGTTTATCTGCAAAATTATTATTTTTTTTTTGAGACAGAGTTTTGCTCTCATTGCCCAGGCTGAAGTGCAATGGTGCAATCTCAGCTCACCATGACCTCCACCTCCCAGGTTCAAGTGATTCTCCTGCCTCAGCCTCCAGAGTAGCTGGGATTATAGGCACTGTGCCACCATGCTCCGCTGATTTTATGTTTTTAGTAGAGACAGGGTTTCTTCATATTGATCAGGCTGGTCTCAAACTTCCAACCTCAGGTGATCTGCCCACATTGGCCTCCCAAAGTGCTGGGATTATAGGTGTGACCAACCATGCCCAGCATGCAAGATTATTTAAAATAGAAATAAGGCTGGGCATGGTGGCTCATGCCTGTAATCCCAGAACTTTTGGAGGCAGAGGCAGGCAGATCACCTGAGGTCAGGAGTTCGACACCAGCCTGATCAACATGGTGAAACCCCATCTCTTCTAAAAATATAAAACTTAGCCAGGTGCGGTGGCAGGAGCCTGTAGTCCTAGCTTCTTGGGAGGCTGAGGCGGGAGAATCACTTGAACCCAGGAGGTGGAGGTTGCAGTCAGCCAAGATCGCACCATTATACTCCAGTCTGGGTGACAGAGTGAGACTCTGTCTCAAAAATAAATAAATAAATAATAAAATAGAAATAAACAGTAATAGTAAACACAGGATTTGTACAGCGAAAACAAACAGCAGGTAGCCAGGTGCGGTGGCTCACACTTATAATCCCAGCACTTTGGGAAGCTGAGGCAGGTGGATCACTTGAGGCCAGGAGTTCAAGACCAGCCTAGCCAACATGGTGAAACCCATCTCTACTAAAAGTACAAAAATAGTGGGGCATGTTGGTGGGCGCCTGTAGTCCCAGCCACTCAGGAGGTTGAGACAAGAGAATCACTTGAACCCGGGAGGCGGAGACTGCAGTGAGTGGAGATCCTCCAGCCTGGGTGACATAAGAGACTGTCTCAAAAACAAACAAACAAACAAACAAACAAACAAAAGAAAACCAGCCGGCAAGGGATTCTGCTGTTTTAAAACACTTCATAGATTTAAAATGAGGATAGTTTATATCAGAGATTTTGGGCTTTGTCCCTCAAAGTTGGATAAAATGTGTTTGGTTACAATGTGAATTTATTTCTTCATTCTTACCTTACTCCAAGATTTTCAAAATGAGACTCATCAAGACAGGGCAGTAATGAGCCTGTGATTTTATTTTCTGTGGAAGAAAAAAGACAAATTCAATATGTACTATTAGAGATGAGCTGTGCTCTCAGAAAACTCCTCCATGCAGGCTGACCCCTTCCCCTCTTCTAATTGCTCTTCAGCTGCACTCCTGAACCCCTACCTAGGCGCCACACCAAGGCTACCAGACATGTAGCAATTAAGCAAAGCCTGATTACAGCCATCTGGGCAGCTCGAGGGAGGACAGGGAAAACATATGTTGGTTGTCCTTACTCGTACGGTTTCTGTCTTTTTTTAATGACTGCCGCCACAAGTCACAGGGTGATGTATTGTCTCTTACAAATTAACAAACTATCTCTGTACCTGTTACCAGTGAATAGATTATGCCCCTCTCACCCTATATAAACCCCTGGTTTTATAAGCTCAGGGGTACCTCCTCTGACTGTTACAGAGCAGCCCAGCAAGTTAATAAAACTGTCTTGCCTTACTTTGGGTCTATTCTCCTTTCTCTCGGCTACCCTTACATATACAACATGTTTTTCACTTTCTTTCAATTTGGATGCACCAAAATTTACCCAGATCCACATTTATTGAGCACCCACTACAGGCAACAGACTGTGCCAAGTACCATTTTATTGATCTGCTACTTGTAAAGACTCAATTTTAATTAAATAACTAAACCAACAAGCATTTTTCTGATAAATCACGTGAAAAAATTTCAAAATTATTCGTGTAAATTAGTTGCAAGAAAAACCAGTTGCAAAAAGTGAAGTGAAACCTGACTCCCTGCTGGGGTTTTGCCAAGTTAGCAGCTTCCTTTTAAACAAGAAAGGTTTGGGTTGGGGAAGGGAAAGAAACTTAAAAGTCTATTGTTTTTAGAATTAACAATTAAAACGATGGCTTCAAGAGTGCTTAAAGTGTTGATTTCTCTTAAACCTCCTGGGAAAGCACTCAATACTCTGATTTGAAAGACTCTTCTCTCTCATATATATATGGAGAGAGAGAGAGAGAGAGAGAGAGAGAGAGTTGTTTTTTTTCCTCTTTCTATACAATTTATTCTAATATTTCCTGACCTCAGATTCCAAAACTCTGGACCACTTTATTTTACTGTATTTCTTTGAGACAGGGTCTTGCTTTTTGCCCAGGTTGGAGTACAATGGTGCGATCACAGCTCACTTACAGCCTTGACCTCCTGGGTTCAAGCGATCCTCCTGCCTCAGCCTCCCCAGTAGCTGGGACCACAGGCATATGCCACCACACCTAGCTTATTTATAATTTTAATTTTAATTTTTTTGTAAATATGGGGTCTCCCAATGTTGCCCAGGCTGGTCTTGAACTCCTGGGCTCAAGTGATCTTCCCACACTGGCCTCCCAAAGTGCTGGGATTGTAGGCGTCAGCCACTGGCATGGCCTCCAGTGGTTTTTGATGAGAACACTTGTTAAGGTATAGCCCACATGAGTTCTGGAGTCCAAAGACCTAACCTTTAAAAATCTAGCTCTTTTTTGTAGTGGTATGATCTTTGAAAAGTTACTTTACATCTTTGGACCTCATATACATCATCTGTAAAACATAAAGAGTATAGCAACTTATTTCAGACTTCTTGTGAGGCTACTATATTCCACAATGAAAAAAGGGACATAGTACCTTGTTCTTGGCTTGTCAAATAAAAACAAATTTGGACTTAGATAAAGAGAGACTTTTTTTTTTTGAGATGGAGTCTCACTCTGTTGCCCAGGCTGGAGTACAGTGGTGCAGTCTCCGCTCACTGCAACCTCCGCCTCCCAGGTTGAAGCAATTCTCCTGCCTCAGCCTCCTGAGTAGCTGGGATTACAGGCATATGCCACCATGCCTGGCTAATTTTTGTATTTTCGGTAGAGACGAGGTTTCACCATGTTGGCCAGGTTGGTCTCAAACTCCTGACCTCATGATATGCCTGCTTTGGCCTCCCAAAGTGCTGGGATTACAGGTGTGAGCCACTGCACACAGCCCCTTTTTTTTTTTTTTTTTTTTGAGACAGAGTCTCACTCTGTCACCTAGGCTGGAGTCCAGTGTTATGATCTTGGCTCACTGCAGCTTCTGCCTCCTGGATTCAAGCGATTCTTATGCCTCAGCCTCCTGAATAGCTGGGATTACAGGCACCCAGCACCATGGCTAATTTTTGTATTTTTAGTAGAGATAGGGTTTCATCATGTTGGCCAGGCTGGTCTTGAACTCCTAACCTCAGGTGATCTGCCCGCCTCGGCCTCCCAAAGTGCTGGGATTATAGGCATGAGCCACTGCACCTGGCCAAAAGAGACTTTTATTAGAAAGAAAGACTATTGCTATAGGGAGGAAGCTCCAATATCAGATATCGGTAAGAGGCTCAAGAAACAAAGAGAGACCCAGCCAGGTGTGGTGGCTCATGCCTGTAATCTCAGCACTTTGGGAAGCTGAGGCAGGTGGATCACTTAAGGTCAGGAGTTTGAGCCCAGCCTGGCCAACATGATGACACTCTGTCTCTACTAAAAATACAAAAATTAGTCAGGTGCAGTGGATGCGCATGTAAGCCCAGCTACTTGGGAGGCTGAGGCAGGAGAACCACTGGAATCCAGCAGACAGAGGTTGTGGTGAGCCAAGAACGAACCACTGCACTCCAGCCTGGGTGACAGAGCAAAACTCTGTCTCAAATATAAATACATAAAAATAAAATGACAATTAAAAAAAAAAAAAAAAGAGTCAAACAGAGGCCCAAGAACCAAACAGAGGTTGGGTGTGGTGGCTCACGCCATAATCCCAGCACTTTGGGAGGCCAAGGCAGGCAGATGATCACTTGAGGCCAGGGAGTTTCAGACCACAATGGCCAACGTGGCAAAACCCTTTCTCTAATTAAAAAAAAAAAAAAAAAAAAAAAAGCCGGGCGCGGTGGCTCACACCTGCAATCCCAGCACTTTGGGAGGCCGACGCGGGTGGATCACTAGGTCAAGAGATCGAGGCCATCCTGGTCAACATGGTGAAACCCTGTCTCTACTAAAACTACAAAAAATTAGCTGGGCATGGTGGTGCGTGCCTGTAATCCCAGTTACTCAGGAGGCTGACGCAGGAGAGTTGCCTGAACCTAGGAGGCGGAGGTTGCGGTGAGCCGAGATCGTGCCATTGCACTCCAGCCTGGGTAACAAGAGTGAAACTCTGTCTCAAA